TACTTTCGGTTTGACCGGAAATGACCCCAACTTTCGATTTTTAAAAGGGACTTCCTATATACTTTTACTTATTTCGATCGAGAATGATATTTTAAATCCAACAAAACTTCACTTGTCAATATTTGACAAGTCATTTTTATTCCTATTTTTATTTTTTGATCTAGAATGCCATGGATCGTGTGAATCGCTTCATTTTTGATCAAGTGACATGGGAAAACTACGACTTTGATGCTTATGAGTTCACAGTCGTTTCAAGAATTATTTCACAGTCGCAATTAAGGAAGTGGAAATGTCTAAGTTCAAATATTTAGTACCAGATCTTCCAGTCTTCTCTGATATACGTTATATACAATAATATCACATCTGATATCAGTTGTTTCTAGATGTTCTAGAATGAAATTCATCTGAGGGACTTAACATGCCAAGTGCCAAGTCACTTGAACAGAATGTTCTTGGGAAAATACTTTTTCAGGAGAGATTTATTTTTCCAGTTTATTTTCAATTCAATTCCTTGTTTGCTTCCTTCCAAAGTCTTCAACACATTTTATATAAATATGAAAACGTACTCAAAAAACTTTTTTCCAAAAACTAATCCCTCCTAAAAAATATGCCCCATTCAATCTTATTAATTCTTACCACTGAGTGTAACGGCAGATTCAAGTTCTATTACTGCTATGTCATGATGCATACTGCCGTTTTGGTATCCTTCATGAATGATAAATGACTTTGATGTCATTTGTATGTGATTTTCTTCCAAACTCCCCAAATCGTGTGCTCCAATACTAATATCTGCATATGTTGCTCTGAAAATGCAGAGATGTTATTGATAATTAAGCCTATAATAATCATGCATACAGGACAGGCTATAATAATATCACAAAATCATTGAGATGAATAGAATTTGATCACTAACAATTTTTGATATTTTGAGTCATTTCGGAAATAATGAAATTTTTCTTTTTTTCGATATTTCACTACTCTAATTGCTACCGAAAACTGGATTCGATTTTTTTGTAAATTAAATAATTTCATATTTTCATCAGATTCGATATTAATTCGGTTAATTAGTTTAGTGATTCAATAATTTTTCTGAAAAAAGGTTGGTTGGGTAACAGTATCGATTTAAAATTATGGATTGTGATATTTCCCCGCAATTACTTAGCAATGAGTAGAAAAGAGCCTGGAACAGTTTTAAGGCAGTAGTTCATGGTTTCTTGGAAACCATAGAGCTGAAAATTATGATGAGCTGATCATTGACATGAATGTGAATTTTTCCGTCATCGGATGTAGAATGTCTCTAAAGATACACATGTTACATTCACATTTGGAAAAATTTAAAGATGATATGGGAGCTTATTCAGAAGAACAAGGGGAACGCTTCCATCAAGATATAATGCAATTTGAGAAACGTTATCAAGGCCAGTATACTGAAAGCATGATGGGGGACTATATTTGTGGATTAATAAAAGAAACTTCCACTCAACATGACAAGAAAAGTAAAACTGTTCATTTTTAAACATTCGAACTCTATTTTAAAATTTCTATTGTAAGAATGAATCATAAATCTATGTTGGGTGTGTTTTAATAAATCATCTCTGTGTGCAATTTTTATGTATTTTACTTGATTTGAGTTTTCCATTTTTTACACATAAAAGCAAATTCAGAACTCTTTTTTGTTCTTATTCTTGTTTCTAGGTATATAAGCAATGAAAGTAACGTATGTGTAACCCGTGCGCAAAAATGCTGTAGACCGGTATTATCTACACCCCCAACATACTGTACGACAAAGTTTGTACCAAGAAACTTCTGAGGCATACATAATGAAAGTTTTTTCGTAGATTCAATATATTAGTCAGTTGAAAAGAATGATAAACCGTTGACACGAATTCACAAAACAGTGCCTTTCCATTGCCACATGTTTCAGTGGAGACTGTAAAATCTTTACTTTCCTCTCGAATATAAAATAACTTGAGTATCCGAAACAATTATTTCCAGAACTCATGATGACACCAGTGCCGTAAGATGATTTCATTTATTTTCTCACCTATTCTGATTTGCGTAGTGTCATCAAATGGTAGCAAACTTACCTGCGAATTCCCAATTATGAATAGAAAAAGTATCCAACTTGAACAAGCGAACTTCATTCTGAAAGAACTGAACTGTATATGACGCTGTACTCTTATCAAATCTTATCTTTGATGTAATTTTCATGAACATACAATCATCTCAGAATATAAGGCACATATTTCAAGTATCAATGAATTTGAATATTTTCAACAATCGATTTTATGCAATAGTTGCGTGTGTTTTGATCTTCAATGGTTCAAATAAGGCATCGAAGATAAGTGTTTATGATCCATAATTTCGAGAAGTATACCTCACTTTAATGAAGGTACATTCCCATATAAGTGGAATTTTATAGCTCTGTCATATTCTGTCAGTTTCAATTCAATTATATGTATTATCATGGCACCCGTGCGGAGTAGGGGCGTTTCGCTACTTGAATGTCATAATTGTGTTCCATTTAGGATCAATTTCTTTGACCTGATGAATTTTTTTTTCATCCAAGAGAATCTGTATTTATGCTGATGACTTGAAACTGCTGAAAAGATAATATTTAATTTTCAAAGTATTACAATGAAAAAATAAATGAATACTTGAAGATGAATATTAGCGCGTTCATATATGAAAATTACCTTTTCATCACTGTCTCTCCGTACCGCTATAATGTTAACTAGACATGTGATGAAGTGATGAAATATTATAAACTAATTTTAAACATTGAGAACGAACTAATTAGGAATTTAAACATCAGAAAACAAATTTACCAAAGGAGAATTATTCAATTCTATTTAGTCATTGAGTGTATTGTTCAAAATTTCAAATCAATTAATTCACAAGCATTGTCAAAGTTTGCTTCCGATTTATTGTCCAAGTGTAACACGTCATAGTAGTAATTCAACTTATGCTTAAAGATGATTTTCAAATGGGGAATTGATCGTCTCATTCAAGAAACAACTTTAAGACAGATTTATTTTTTGAGAAAGGATTTTTCCAGTTTCACCAATATTAAGTTTTGGGCAAGAATCTCAAGTCAACTTTATATTCCTGAACTAGCCGACAACACTGATTTGTCAAATTGGCCTAAATTATCCGAATTTTGCCCATTTCCTCGTATAAGGAAAGAAAACGTTTCACATATAGTCAGTGGGCATACTTGAAGACTGGCTATAAATCAAATCATCTAAAGGAACAATTCGTTCAGGCCAGTCTCAGCTCCCTACACTGTAGGTTAATGAACTGACACCTGTGATCTGCCTGTGAACGAGGTAATCAACCGCATATGCGAAATTTGCATATACGAGTCAGTGGGCATACTTGAAGACTGGCTATAAATCAAATCATCTAAAGGAACAATTCGTTCAGGCCCGTCTCAACTCCTTACACTGTAGGTTAATGGACTGATACATATCAGAAAACAACTACTCCACTGGTTAAAACCACGAAGGTATTACTTCAGTGAAGAATCTTGCACTGACACCTGTCGGGTATATCTCATCCATCATCTAACGCGCTTCATAGTATTAGTCAGAGGAGTAGTTGTTTTCTTATAGAAGTCCATTAACCTACAGTGTAGGGAGTTGAGACTCGCCTGAACAAATTGTTCCTTTATATGATTTTACCAATTTGTTTGATGAAACTCCGTTCTCTCTGAAAAATACTTTTAGATAGTGGAATCACTACATAGTTGAAACAATAACCATTTTTTATCCTCGAGAAATAATTGCTTATTCGCGCTTATTACGCTTGAGAAAACTATTGTATAGCCGAGTATAGCGCAACGCGTGTCGCAGTTTTTGTAAAACGGTATTAAAAAGATGTTCAGAATGTAGTACAAGAGATAGATCATTCATTACTATGAAGAACAAAAGTTTGGATCCTCGTAGGACATCTGAGGTAGCCTAGATATTGATTGAGAGGATGGCCTCCATACTGTATTCTATATTAAGTGAAATGGTACTCGTATCATGAGTATATCTGAAGTATCAGTGATAATCCAATAGCTTTGAGTTTAGCTAACGGTAAATAATTATCAATTTTATCGAATGTTTCTGGAAAGTCCGTATATACTCGTATACCTAATATCTACCTGTTCACGATTGTTGAGACAACCAGAAATTATTCGTGTTACGCATACTATACCGGGTGATTCTCTGAAGTGTCTCACTCCTATAACTTCTTTATTATTGGAGATTGATAAAAGAAATTTGAAGGTTGTGTATTATAGTTCAAGTTATTT